GTTTTTTGTTTTTTTTGTTTTTTTTTAATTATTATTACTCTAGGGAAAACACTGACGAATGGTCAGAGCTCCTATCCTGATCTTTTCATCAAGGCGCCTTTCCTAATATGGTTCAACTGTGAATGTAGACGTTGGGGGGAGGGGGGAGAAAAAGAAAACTCTGGCGTTAGAGGATATAGAAAAATAAAAGTACAATTGTTACAAATAAAGAACACAGACTTCAAAAACAAAATAAGTCACAACCCAAACAAACCAAAATTTGAATGATCTGAATTGGCAGCACAAAGAAAACGCCCTCTCCTGACTTGTATTGTGGCAGTCTGAACGCCCCCAGAAAATTGTGCCAAAGAGTTTAGAAAAACAAATACACAATAAAAGTAAACACACAAACACACAAAACAGCAAACTTCAGGTAACTATTTTGGATTGCAAACAGGATAAATTTAATGTTCAAACAATCTGATAAAATAACCGTTTGGAAACTGCTTGGCCTTCTGTTCTTTTATTTGATTGACTACAATGCGGTATTGGTCTCTTGCTGCACATCAAAATCAACCAACAAAAAGAAAAAATTGTGTGTGTGTGAATACACACACTAACTAGAACTCTTGTGATGAAAATGGCACTTGAAAAAGGTTATATTTTTCCACTGAAGTTGAAGGTTAATAAAATGGTGTCAAACGTTCCCCTGGTCACACACTTTAATATTTTTTTAGAAGTGTGATGTGGTATGATTACCATAAATCAGACTTTAATTATTTTCCCTTGTACAAGGGAACAGGGCACCCTGAATTTTAGACTCAGCAATAAGAAGGGATGTTGGTGAGCTTTGATCCTCTTGGTTTTGCAGTTGTTAGGAGTTTTTGCTGGCATATGCTGCTTTCAGAAAAACCAAGAAAGTTTTAAAATTGCTTCCTGGTCCTTAGAGGACTAAAAAACAAGACCCTCATTCCCACTTTCATTTCCACTCTAGCAAAAAGTATGGGCTTGTGTTTTTCTCCAGCTTGTTTATATCGTCCCTTCCATGTCCAAGCCTTCCATTCGTAAGTGGGACTGGCTCATTTTGCCCATCCATATGGCAGCATCTCTAATAGCTCTTGTACAGGGTATCAGATATTGTGCCTTTTGGTGCCAGGTTCAGAGTCAAGTGCCGATCTATGAACCAGTGTACAAAAAAAAAATTTTAAAAATCCAGGTATTTGAAGGAGAGACGCTCCATTGTGAATAAAGAGCTCATACCAGCTCCTAAGCCCTATTAAGAAGAGGCATGGTCCTCTAATGCCTTGTTTCCATTTCAGTTGTTTAAAAGAGAGAATGATGTACTAACCATTCCTGATTATTAGATAGGGTTGGGTCAGGGCTTAGGGAGGGGGCAGAAATATTGGGGATAGAAAAAAAATCTGATCATTCCTCAGTGCTACCCGTTTCTGTCCTGTGTGGGCTGCTTAGCTAGACAGCAGGAGAATAAAGTACACCAAGAACCATAATGAAAAAAACCTTCCGTGTGTTTTGTCATGTTTTGTTCCAGGGAAGCAGTTGATGAGTGCTGTTACTAATGCTTTCTCCCAGATCCATTCAATGGTGGAGACGAGGAAATGGGCTGGTTGGATGTGGTCTTGGTGCCTTGCAGTTATTCTGCACTGGTTATGCATTTAATCCTCCTCTTTTCTAGTTTTTGCTAGTGGATTTTCCATAGTCTGGGTATTTGTCCTTAAATCAATTGTACCACCTAAGGTAACTGGATGCAAAATGCATTCTGTCCACTCACTGTCTGGGCTTTCCCCACCCTAGTCTTGGCACATTCCTTCAAGAATGTAGTTACCGTCTGCTTGGGAAGATGTCAGTGCAAATGTGAAGAAAATGGGCATCGGACTAGGCTTTGGTTTGCCACAAGTGGCAGCTGCCTATATCAATTACATTTATTTAATTTTGCTTTTCATTTTTCTCAGTTCTCAGCCCCCCTCTGTTGAAATGTTGGAATTTTTGCTGTCAGAGGCAACTGTAATATTGCCTTAGGGACTTGCGGAGAAAGGGAGGGGAATTGCTCAGCATAGTGTTTTAACTTTCAGAACCAAGCAATCTATTTACTCTTACTATTAAAGAAGTGTGTTAGTCTGACTTTAAGAGAAATCCAAACTCCATCAGCTTTTGATAGCATCTTGGTTTTTGAAACAATTTCAGTCTGTAATTGGCATTCAGAATGCCCTTGGCATGCCAGTCTGTGTGATGGCATTTAAGACCTGTAAAACACTTGAGCCCAACTCGATTAACCAAAACCGATAACCACCACCTTTATCTTCTAAATAAAGTCCGCTTTATTTTTATTTTCAACATCTTGCTGCTGCATTTTTTTTTGTCTGAGATGGTGTCATCTCCATGGAGGTGAAATGGTTTGAAAGAAGTTGGAATGTGTGCTGAGAGGGGTGTGTGTGTATGTGTTGGGGGGGAAAGGAAGGACACAGTTTGAAATGGACTCTACATAGTAAAACGTGATATAGATCAAACAGTGTCCTACCAATGAGATAGGGAAAAAGTATACATGGAGGAGGTTTTGTGTTTGGAGAGTTTGAAGCAGTAGCAGAGATTGTCCTCTGCTTTATGTCTATTTCTCAAGCTAATGTGTCATCTAATGGATCGTCCAAAAGTTGGCTATTCATTTAGTTTTCATCATGTATTTCATTTCTACTTGTATCCTCTCTCCCCCCCACACCCTGCCCTCCCACAGAAATGGAACGAGCACTAGTTTGGGATTTAGGAGACTGGTCCCTTTCCTTAACCCTGCTGTTTATTAGCATAGTGGTGCCTGCAGGCCAGTTCATGGAAATACACCCTTTCTTAGTTGATGTTGAGCAACAAAATGAGGGCTGTAGCCTCCATGTGGCCTTTCCCCTTTTCTGATTGTACATCCTGTTAGAAACTTTTGATCATGCATACCCCATGTTTTTATAAATTATTTACTTGGACTATTATAACCACATACTGTGTAATTATAAGACAAAAAAGAGAAAGTAGAAAGCAGATGATAAATAGAAGTTCTAGCATTTCTAAATCCACTTTAGAGGTTACTGAGTTATAGAGAGTAACTTGTGATTCTTACAAGGCTGCATTAAGTCCTGAACAGCAATGATTCACTGAGAACATTTCTCCCCTGAAGGTGACGTTTGAGAAAAGCAGTTCGTCAAATGGCAGAGAAGAAGCAACTACTCCCACAAGAAACCCCATTACCATATACCTGCTCCCAAAACAAACACTCAGAAATATACATTGCAAGCCTGCAGTTCTACCTGGCCTCCACGGTCCCAGGTTGACCCACCTGAAGTGAAAAATGGTAAACACTGAGATTTTATGTTTCAATGTGTACAACAACCCTAACAGTGAGTATTCCTTTTTTACTGATGAGGAAGGGAGGGCAGAAAGATTGACTTATCAGACCAAGGTCACTTACAGCCAGAATTCAGAGCCAGGTCTGTCAAACCAAGACCACATTTGCCCTGGACAGATGCTGTGAACCTCTTAGTGATACAAAACAAAGGTCCATATTGCACATATTTAGGATACCTCATCCATTTTCTTCCCAGCGCTATCTAAAAGTATATTTTAAATGTGTTGATTTGTTGCCAGTTTCCCTCAGTAAGTTCCCTAATACAGTGACCTTGGCTGCCTTATTTAGTATGCTCAGCTGAGAGAGCGCCTGACATATAGTAGACTTTCGATAAATATTTGTTGAACTAATGACATGTCAGTACAGTTCACAGAGTTCCTGTGATGGCATCACTTAGCTGTTGAAGGGCAGAGCATCCAGAAACCTAGGAATGTCAAGAGCTGCAGAAAATGGGTTTCTGGCTCTTCCCTTATCTGCTCGATGACTTCAGGCCAGCCTCTCAACCTTGGATTCTAACTGAGGGAATGGGAACAGGATTAGTGAATAGTCATTATTTACATGATCTTTTTTAGGTACTTACACTAGCCCTGTAATAAGTGTCTTTGGTAGAGTAATAATTTCTATCAACACTATAAGGAAGGCACCATTTTAGTCCCATTTTACAGGAGGAAATGGAAACAGGCTAAGAACCTTGCCTAAAGTCCTGCAGGCAGTGCTAACCTTTCAGACTTAACACCTCAAGGCTACATTGTGTACCAGTGTTGTAAGTGAGCTTAGAGATAGCAGAGAGAACCCTGGATAAAAGGTTTTTGGAATGCAGGAGCAAAGCCATTCTGTCTTAATTCTACAGTAAGTCCCATTATTAACCTTTGGTAATTGCCAGACTTAATTCAGTGTGTGTGTGTGATCAGCTTCTCTCCTAATTGGAATTTGAAAGTGTGATCAGCTTCCCTCCTAACTGGAGTTTGAACCAACTCAGTTTTCCCTCTAAGCTGGAAGCTTTTGGGAACCAGGGCTGGGGGATGGGCGGTTTTTGGTGCTTGGTGGCCAAAAAGGCCACTAGGCTGCTGAGTAAGCTCCACATGTGAATTATCCCAACTCCGTCAGCTGATCCCATG